TCACTTTTTATATTTGTATACGTAAAGGTTATGTTAAATTCAGATTGTTATTTTAATATATTACAATGTTATAATTTTATTACTGTTATATTGATTAATACAGGTGAAGATTCTGAATATTTCAACATTAACTTTTCGTGCGAAGTATCGTGCAAAAACGTGAGTATTAATAGATATTAATTATTATTGTAAAAAATTATTGAAAATCAATTTTTGGTAATTAATATCTTGTCTTGTTAACTATTACAAAAATTGCAAAATGTAGAGGACTTTTTTCTCAGTTTAGTCCATTCTGCCCCTGTGCGAAAGACTTATCAATAATTTCCAAACACCCTATATAACACATTAGTAATATGTTAAATTATATTTTCTGTAGTTACATTTTAAAATATGATTTCCCAAGCTACAAGTTTAATGTAAATTAAGCGTTGAAAAATTTATCTACAAAGAAAAATTTAATTTTGAAAAATATTTTAATTGTTTAAAAAAATTTTATTTGTTTAAAAAGATATTAATTTAGGTGTTATTTCAGGTGTTGTTTACTAATGATTATTTTATACATATGTGTACTGAAGTACTATAATTTCCTTTGAAAATGGATAATCTTAAATAAATACATAAATTATTAATATGTTTACTATTATATGTGACTACATAATAACTATGTATAAGAGATTTCTTTGCTAATGGTATTGCACATTTGTAATGTACAGAGTGTTCCACTTAAATTGAAAATCTTAATAATTCATTTATTTTTAAAGATAAATTTAAGAAAAATGTTAAAAGCAGAAGTTGCATTGTTCAACGGAACAATTATTCAAGGTTACCGCCATTTTTTAAATCGAATTATTTATATAATCTTTCTTTAATATAATATAATTTGATTATTCTGTATATAAAAGTAAAAGTATATTTATTGAATTAAAAATTCTGTATATAATAGTATTAAAGTATGTTTATCGAATTAAAAAGTCATTAGTTTACAAGATACTTTATTCTAGTATATACTGTAACCGTACTCGCGAGCAACGGCACAACTTCGTCGCGTGTTCTCGGTATTCAAAGTACGCAAAAGTATCTTCTCTCCCTCGGTAGCAGAATTTTGCGACAGCCAGGCGGTTCTTCGGCCAGAATTGTAATTCTTATTACTAAGTTGGGCGCCAGGCACGAGAGAGCGTGCTACTCTTTCCGAAATCTCCTTACCTTTGCCCGTAACCGATTCGCGGCGGCAGGGAGTGGGTCGCAAGAGGTGTGGGAAATTTGTCGGAGGGCGAGAGAGATAGGCTGCAAAAATAACGTACGCGAGGATGTAATAATAAAAACAGTATATTTGGAAAAAGATGATAAAGTAAGACTAATGACATCGGTGACGTAATTACAAGTGATCTCCGGAGTTTCGC